CTCGCGCGTGTTGATGGACAAGTCGGGCGTGCCAGGTCTTTGCTTCCCGCCAGAACTCTTCCCAATGTGTGCAATCTCGTCCCTGCCATTGCGCTCGATATCCGTCGAGAAGCGAACGCGCGGCGACTCTTCAGTTGTCAAGCGCGCAACCGAAGGGCGTGCCGTATTCTCCACCGCCGAAGTCCTCGATCGTGGCGCATCGTCGCCATCTGTGGAAGTGTCTATCGCATACGGAGTGTTTGCGCTCTGTGTCGTCGGTGCCAGGCCATCCTCGTCGTGGGATGCGGAATGACGCCTTCTTACTCCTCCGCTACCTCCAATCCCAGCACTCGATGCATCGGAAGCATCTCCAGGCTGCGACATGATTTCCAGTCATTCCCTATTGTCGTGTACGCTGTTGTCCTACCGAAGGGTGCTGCAAATCGAAGCAAATCCCCAGCCTTTCCCGCAGAGTCCGGTCTAGCGGCTTGTCCACGCGGGTATTACGACGTCGATGCCCGCGCTGGGGGCCTTTGCGTCTTGGGCTTTACGCGGCGCCGGCGATACTATAATCAATACGGATGCGAATTACAGCAATCACATTGCGGTGCGCAAACATGGAATGAAGTGAAGCAAACAATACTGTTCCCTGTCGAACGCGCCAGCAACGCGGACAGTACCAAGGTCCAGGTTCAGGTTCCTTCAGCCCACCACATGATGCCCCAGGCTATTTTAGGACTGACGTAGCTGGGGCCAACTCCACCAACTCCAGCTCCGCCCCCAGTAGTGCACTGGGGAAGCGCGCATATGCAAGCCCCAAGCCCACCATGAGGGGTTACCATATGTCTGCTTCTTCTGCAGTTCAGAGATCATACTGCTCTAGGAGTAAACCTATCAAAGACTTCCACCTCCACCCCTCCACCTCCCCGCCGCCTCCCCCACCCACCCATGGGCTTGCATATGCGCGCTTCCCCAGAGCCATGTCTGCTTCTTCTGCAGTTTGCAGTTCCCGATCAGCAAAAAAGGAAGATCTAACCCCGCAGGTCGCATGTGCGGCTGGCGCCAATGCAACACATCGCAGCTGACGTTCCGCCAATCGGCTCCAGCTCACGCAACGACATGAGCCATTTCTCACAATATCGCTGACAACATCAAAATCCGTGTATGAAGTTCATGATGTATTAGTTCTATCTCGATTATACATGCCGCTGAATCAAATGCAAAGAGAATCTCTGCCTCACAAAAGAACTCGCTTCAAAGAACAGATGTAACAAGCTATCCAAGATGCATTTTGCCATTCAATAGCACCCAAAAAACGCACTACTCACTACTCCAGAACCCTGGTTTTTGACGACCAATATGCTAATAATGCTTCGCTCCAAATGATATGGTATAGTTTCGTTCCCTGTCTCTGTCTCTCTCTCGCTTTCGCCTTTGCAGGCTCAACTCTCTCTCTCATTCTCACTCTCTCACACACAAGTCTCCAACCCCCTTAGATTTCCTCCTTCCTCCGCTGCCAAAGAAGAAGCCATTCTGAGTAGCAGTAGTAGGAACTTGCTTTGTGGTATCCGGTAGTCGTGTCGCTCATTAAGTATTGCACCTTTGAAAGATTATAAGAAAAAGGACATAGAAAAAGCAGTGTGCCCAGCGCCATGCAATATGCAGCCAGATGATGAAGAACCAAACTGGCGATGATGATTGGTAAAAGAGGATTAGAGAAGAAGGACTGCTTCGCGTGTCCTACGATGCAGCAACGCACCAGTGGCGGTGGAAAACCCACGCGCTCTTCTGGCATTCTTTGCTGCAGTACTTGGTCCGCCGGCACCGACGGCACTTGGCGAACTGGCGGGTGTATTCTTCCCACTTGCCGCACTTGTAGTATGCGCACTGTCGGATGCCGCCTCGAGAGTCGTCTTTCCGGCAAAGGTTGCGCATAACAACGCTGGCCCAGTACTGCATGTCGGACGAGTGATGTCGTACGGTGAACTGCTCAACCAGGGGGAAGATGTTAAAATCGTCTGGAAGTTCGTATTCCTCAAGCTCCTCCTCTTCTACCTCTGCCTTGGGTGTCGAGGCTTCTCCGTCAAGTAGCTCGGTGCCAATCTTCAGCTTGGGCACCAGATGCGAGTTCTGGAAGTAGGACCGGAGGTTGCAGTATTTCGATACGTAAGCGAGTAGTTGTAGAGACATGAGCACGTCTTCATCCCGAGGCATGGCTGCGAGCACGCTAGCTGACGCATTGCGTTCTTGCTGGTATCTGGGTAGCCAAGGAGGCGGTGGGTTGGTGTTGACGACGTTGATGGTGGGCGGCATGGGAGAGAAACCGGTGATGGGGTTGTTCGGCGGGGTGTTGGTGGGGTTGATTAGACTGCCATCGAGCGCTGGACGGTGAGTAATGTTGAACGTCTCGTTATTCTCGTCTGTGCCTTCCGACGGAGCAGCGATGGGAACTGGTGTGTTGCCAGCATCCAGCATCTCTGCGTTGTCGACAATGTCGGCCATATTGATCTCATTGTTCTGAATGCCGACGATAGGCTCATTCACAGACGGACCCGCCGCTGTTGCAGCCTCTGCAGACATGTCATCTTGTTGTGCTTCGAGGTCCGACTCGCCAGATACAGACAGCTGGTGTCGGATAGAGGGTCGGCGGCGCGTCCGGGCTAGCCCCGCTCTTGGGCTCGTCTGGCGTGCCTGTGGGGCGCTCGGTGTTGTCGGTGACTCTGGTTGGGAAGTGATCTCCCCTTGCAGGGCGGGGAGCATGGAAGGAAGGCGATCCGCATCTCGCACCGGCCGTAGCGCAAACGCGTCAGGTGTTGCTTCCATGGAGGGTAGCGCCGTGACCAATGGCTGGCCGAGGTTGCGGGTGTTGTTGCCGGGAGCGCCAAACAGCTGTGCCCGGCCTTCGTGGCTGCGATGGTGATGGTGGTGGGGAGGTCGGCCGCGTGCAAATGTCGTCCGCTCAGGAGGGGAGCTCAGGGAGAAGGCGGGAATGGGAGTCGCGTCGGCCAAGGGTGCGTCTGTCGGCTGGGGTATCTCAATGGGAGGAGGAATGATGCGCCGTGATCGATCGGCTCGGTGTGAGGAGCTCGACGCAACCTCGCCGGTCCGCGAGGAGTGGTGTCGGCTCGATGCACCGAGACGTGCAGATTTGTGAAACTCAACCTCAGCGCGTGCCCGCATCTTGTCGATGACCTTGATATAGTTGTCGAGGATGGAGGCGATGACGGGCACCATGTCGGCCTCGACCACACGCGTCCTGACGTTCTCGGAGCCGCGTACGCCAATGTTGAAGATGCATTGGAAGGCGAGGTTCCACTTCCACATGTCCATCATGTCCTTGCTCCGGCCTTCCTTGAGGATGCATATCAGGCGCTCGATGCCGCCATCGACGGTGAGAATGTCCCGTATGCGGGCCGAGGAGGTTGTGAGGTAGGCGAGGTGGTTGAGCGAGTTGATGAGCGGGAGGGTCGATGTGCAGTCGAGAGCGCGGCGGTCGTAGAGGGCGGTGGTGATGCCGACCGACGCCTTGTTGGCGTTGGGGATGCTAAAGTTGACTTCGCGCATGTTTGGAGCTGTGTGGTGCCGTGGCTGGGTGGATGGGCGGGAGCTGGGTGGTGGAGAGGTGCAGGACTAGTGTCGCATGTGGTGGGCAGCAAGCAGGAGGGTTTAGCTGCAGGCTGGGAGCGGGCAAACAGCGGAGCCCGGGGTGAGAGGAGAAGCAGCCAGTTGTTTGTTGATGCTTCAGGCTCGGACGCAATAGAGGGGCCCGTGTGGTGGTGTGCTCAGAGGTGCTAAGACGGCGCTTCACAGCAAACGTGTGCTCGAGGGCGGAAGGAACCCGACAAGGCGGTGACGACGGACCACAGCCAGACTCGGACGAGACGAGGCTGTCACGGCTGTTGGGGGGAATAACCAAAGCAGAGGCCGGTGGAAAGGGATGGTGATGGCGGAGATGAGGCGTGTTTGCTGTTGTTAGGGGGACCAGGATGGCTTCGCTGCCGCTGGCTGGCAGGGAAGAGCGCTCTCTGGCGTCGCAGTGGGACCGCGCAACACTGGTGTCGTCTCGTGTGTTGCTCTACGGGTAGTGGTGCTAAGGCTGGGCTATGGTATGCTGGATGAGGCTGTCGGCGATGAATGGGATGTAGAGAGGCGGTTCGGGTGAGAGGTCATGGGCAGTGGAGCAGCTAGTCCCACTGTTAAGGATTGGCACCGACCGCCCAGAAGGGTAGCCTCGAACCGCTAATTTCATGCGCTACGGGCAAAAGAGAGCACCGAAATGACTGCCCTCACCTTGCACACGCTGTGTTGAATGCCAATATGGCTGCTTGGAAATGCACCCTCCTCGAGGACCGTCAGCACGTGTAGCGACATGTCACGGGCGCCTGTCCCCGCCGTCCACGAGTCCCTCTACCGCCCAAATTCCCTCACCCCGTCTCCGCCACAGGTGGCGCCCTTGCCTCTGCCTCTGCCTCTGCCTCTGCCAATGTCGTGAACCCTTGCAACTTGTCCCCCACTGCATTGCCAGCGAACTGTGACTACTCAAGCTGCGTCTGTTGGCGCCTGCATCTTTCGGCGGCACTCGAGGGCTGCGTGGGGCGCCGGCCAGCTGCACGATGCCACCAAGCCTGCTGACAAAGGCGGCCCTTTCCTTGGGCCTCCCATGCCGTGCTACCACTACGGACTCGACGCATCTGACTCAACGTGCGAGCAATTCACGCATTACGGCCCAAATACATTGTGACGGGAGTGAAGTGGTACCGGACAGTTCTGCGGGGTGCACAGGGTCTTTGCAGTCCCGTATTTACAGAGTGTCCCGTCATGGTGAAGGCCATTGGGCACATGAAACTCTCGCGCAGCTCAGAGGTCGCTGCGACCTCACAACGACGTGGGCTGCAAAGGAGAACCCCCAACCACCATCCGCGCCCTGCCATATCAATGGCTGCAGCATTCTATTCTTCACTCTCGTTAACCTGAATAATTAACCCAACCCCATTGCTCCACAGTTTCAGATTTCGGACGCGATGGCCGCCTCTCCCCACGAGACAAAAGTCCAAGACTTCGCATCCGCTCCACCCGCGCCCGACCAGCCAGAGCGCTCTGCTTCAGATTCGGCCGCCCCTCCACATCTGACTATCGAGACCCAGTTCAACGAGCAGAGAAGTCGCGGCCGCTCGGCAACTGCGACTACTGCGACTGCAGCATCGACGAACCGAGAAGACATCCTCTCCCCTGACCGCTTCTCAGTCGACTCGACCCTGCGCCGACGCATAACGCGATCGCATACCGTCAAGCACTACCAGTCCCCGACGCGCCCGTACCAGCACCAGGAACCCGGTGCTGAGCCCGGTGTCGACACCAAGAACGAGACCGATGGCGCCAACTACCACCACCTCTACGCGCGATGCCAGATTACCGTCGTAGACTTCTCCGACGAAAAGGTCGAGTGCCATGAGCTGGACAACGATACATTGGAGGACTTCCTCAACTACCCGAAAGAAGACTGGGTGGCCTGCCGATGGATCAATGTCAATGGCCTGTCCTGGGACGTGATTCGTTCCCTGGGAAACCACAAGAACCTACACAGGCTGGCCATTGAGGATTTGATGAGCACCCAGAGTAGGACAAAGGTGGATTGGTACTCTGATCAGGCCTTCTTGCTCCTGACGCTGTCCAAACTCGTGCGGACGCCCATGGACGAGGACTCTGAGAGCGACTCCGACTCAGATTCCGACGACAGCGAACGACGACGGCACAAGGCTCGCTCCCGTTCCCGCTCACGGCACCCTCAGAAGAAGAAGGAGAAGAAGAAGTCGCTGTACAAGAAAGCGAAGAACCTGCTCTTCCCCAAGAGCGAAGCCAAGAAGCAGGTACGCAAGGATGAGATGATGAGCGCATTGGACAACCTAGAGAAGCAGCTCGACGACACGCCCTTCGAAAAGGTCAAGATATCCACACCACCCGCGACTACCGCCGTGCGCACTCTCCAACGCTACCGTGGCGGTTACAATCTCGATCGAATCGTATACCTCGAGCAGCACTCTGCCCTCACCGAGAAGCACCTGACCGTCAGCGTCGAGCAAGTCAGCATTTTCCTCCTCGCCGACAACTCCGTAATCTCCTTCTTCGAGCACTCCGCCGACGATGTCGAAGACATGATCCTCAAGCGTCTCCGCACCGAAGACACCATCCTGCGCCGCAGCCAAGACAGCAGCATGATCGTCCAAGCCATAATCGACGCCATAGTCGATCTCGCCATCCCAGTTGTAGCCGCCTACGAGGACGCCATGGGCGAGCTCGAACTCGACGTCCTCGAAGACCCCGAGCTGCACCACTCCCAACTCCTCTACCTGCTCACCTCCGAACTCTCCATCCTCCGCAACACCATTCAGCCCATCGTCTCCTTGATCAACTCTTTGCGTGATCACAAGGCTGATCCCATGGCCCAAGCCACCATGATGAGCCAGAGTACCGCTAACCTCGCTACCCGCAAGACCATGACGCAAATCAACATCAGCCCCCTCGCACACACGTACCTCGGTGATGTGGAGGACCACTGCATCATGATTACGGCCTCGCTGGACCAAATGCGTCGCGCAGCCGATAACCTCATCGACCTAATCTTCAACATGATGGGAGCCTTCCAAAACGAATCCATGAAAATCCTCACCGCCGTAACCATCTTCTTCCTCCCGCTTACTTTCCTCGTCGGATATTTCGGACAAAACTTCGAGCGCTTCAACGGCGTCCAGCACCACTCTGATGCCTTTTTCTGGGTCATTGCAGTGCCGGTTATGGTTGTTACCTTACTGGTGCTCATGGCTGATCGCATACTGCGCAAGATTAGGCATTGGAGTGGGAAGTTGAAGAGGAGGGAGGCGAAGAGACGGGCGGTTAGGAAGGGGAAGGTTGGGGGGAATGGGATTTTGGGTGATGGGATTGGACTGAGTAATGGGGTTAAGGGGCAGGGGATGGGGGGTCATAGGAGGAGGCAGACTATGTATAGTAAGGGGAATATTGGGTCGTTTTAGGTTTCGGCCTGGGATCTGTTGACGAGGGAGGAGATTTGTTGCTACAATGGTATAGATTTCCTTTTGGTGTTGTTGGGAGGTTGCGAGCCTTTGTACGCAACTGACATACTGGCATTTGGCGAATCATCTTGATAGATTGTACAAAAGATACCCTGTATTACGCTCGCGGTCGATGTCTTGTATATCCGATTTTTTGTGTGTTCCCAGACGTGACGCTGCGCACCATTCTTTCTTCGCCAACGTGGTCCGCGGGCCGCTGTTGCGTCCTTAGATGGTAGCGTCATCGCGTGCCTTCTGCGAACCTACTCACCTGGTCGGCCTCTTGCCCAACACACCTGTCCACCACCACAACAACGCTCGACTGACACTACTGACGCGAGGAGCTCTCAACACATATCTCACATGTTCCTTGCGGAGATATGTCTCGTTCAATGGATTACACGCGATGGTGGCCTAATCTGCTGGCGCGGAACCTGTACCTTCCGCAGGCTGCGCAGTGCTGCGCAGCAACGCCAAGCCCACCAGGCTGAACTTCCTGGATTATTACCACGCCTGATACTCACTCGCAACGCGAACAAAGACGATTTTGAAGCGACCCAATTCAGTGTTCAGCCGTTCACCATTACATTCCTCATATCCTATACGACTTGGATACCATGAGAGCCGAACCGTCGGCTGCCAGCTACCAGCACGAACCTCTTCCCGATTCGAGTACATACATACGCTTGTTAGAGATCGGGAGTATCGATTCCAATGGTCACTTAGTCTACCTTCTGACCGCATGGCCCGCGGTCGAGGCTCCTGATTACTTGGCCATATCGTACGTCGTTTCCAAGAGAACCGGTTTCATACTTCGTACTGATACGTCATTGTCTCAGGTATACTTGGGGCTCACCAATTCCACGCCGTCAGGTCTTTATCAATGGGTGCGTCTTCGCTGCAGGCCAGAACTGCGCCTTTGCACTCGAACAGGGCATTAGTGAACCTGTGGAACAGAGAGATGCTCTGCGTTAGTAGACTTGTTCGATACACAAAGCAGGCAAGGCATTTCTAGGGGCCCTTGTAGGTACTGAATGTGCTCTTCCTAAGCTTGACTATGATTATACGATCGTGTTGGCTTAAACGGCCGGCGATAAAGCTGTTGATTTGTGCCTGGCCAACCTTTCTTTCGGGGTAGGACCCGGTACTGCTGATTGAATTGCCGCTCTAGCAATCTCTGGCTAGACTTAGAGTGAGAGACCACGAAGTCGCAGCGGCTGCATTGGTAGCCTGTGAAGGTCGTCCTTAGATGGCCTGGTGTCGGTTCTTGGGAACAAGCGAGTGCGGTGGACGAGGTTAGTGTACTAGCACGATTAGCAGATCGATGTAATAGTACAGTCGGTGTGTTAGCACGATTAGTAGATCGATGTAAATAACACGAGGGTTTGAGAAGCAAAGTCTAATCCTTAGATTAATACAATGAGTTGGATACAATGGGCTGTAGGAGCTTATCGTCTAATACTATATACTTGGGTCATTCTGTAAATCCCATCGTTCTATGATGCCCTAGGGTTGGTACATCGTGGGACTCCGTGAGACTTCGTGGGACGCACGTGACTTGTCCTATGAAGGCTTTCTGCCAAGACCATGGGATCACTTGCCCTGCGCGGTGGCGTCATCAATTGGTAGACAAGGACCTTCCCTTTGTCTCGGTTGTCCGGGGAATCTTCCTGCTACCTTCTTCCTACATAGTCGTCCGTGTCCCTCTTTTCAGGTTCGTAACATAGCCACGGTGAAGTTTTAGGTCTAGAAGAGGTGGGTCAATAGGCAGTGGTCGTGGAATACTCTGAGTCCTTAGATCAAGCAGGCTGTATCTCTCTTTTAGGCATTCAACAATAGTGTTAGCTGCTTTGTATACGCGAAACTTGGCGAAGTCAAAGCCTGCGTCGCGACACACTTTATGAGCGTGAAGGCTCCTGATATGGCTGACAAAATGCAGAGCCGCAATAGCGCACTATACAGCTTTTGTGTACATTTCTTACCTACAATGCCTAGGGCATTTGCAGATCAATATGCCTCGTTTACCATGACCCTTCTTAATTTCTGCAACTCATTACTTTGATCACGCTCGAATACCAATTCCAAATGATTGCGATCATCGACTCGTATCCCAACAGGCTCCTGATACGTTTTTATGGAGTTGATGCCAGCCGAAACGTTGCACAAGTGCTCGCTCCGCTTTGACTGCATTGCAAGAACAATGATCTCAGTTGCCGAACTCCATGCGGTGGATGCGTGGCCGCTACTAAGCATGTATGTTATGTATCCGACAGCGAATATGCAGTATGCCATGACAACGGTTAGTGATAAGCGTGTAGGTGTAGACGACATTTCGTATCCGTAGCCAAGACGCGTTAAGGCGATTTCGATTACCGTATACGGCTCATAATCAGATGCGCTTTGTATCTGCTCTTTCCAAGGGATCTCGGAGAAGACGGTAGCTAACGCGCCGGCTAGTCGGGTACTGTCACCTCGTGAACTTTTGGATAACATAGCACCAAATGACGGGCTGTTCAAGCCAGTGATGCTGTCGAGATCAGCGAAAATCGGCCGCGTAGTTTTGGGTAAGCCATGACCAGAGTTCGAGAGCGAGCCTGTGCGGACCACCCATGAACCACTGTCTGCTGCAAGTTCGTGTTGAGACGGCTCCCAGAAAGCGGCTACGGTACAAGTCTTTATAGACAAACAAGAACTGGACAACAGCACAGATTGGTTGAATTTGTTGAGTAGTAAATCCGAAATCATGTATTGCTCCAGGCCAGCGCAATTGCTCTGAATAAAGCTGCCAACAACTGAAGAGGAACCAATTTCAGGGGAAGCAACCCAGATGGGTGGTATGGCGTTGACTGGTGTGTCTTGAGAGCCACCATAGTCGAGAAAATGCTGAATGAGGTTCTTCAGACTAGAAATAATGCCGATAGAAGTACCGCCATCCAGAGAGTAGGCGACTGGCGTATCTACTGTCGTGTGCCGTGTGTTGTATGCAGTTAAGCAATGCGCTGTGACTTTAACACGTGGTAGTTTGGCGGATCTTGTGTAATGAATCCCAGAAATCCAAGTACCACCGTTTTTTTCAAGAGGGACCTCATATAAAACCTGTGCACTGAGCTGGGTTGGGATAGTGGCGTTTGCGGAGCTAACCAGGAAATCCCCATGGCGGCTTGACACCTCGTTCTCGGTCATGATATAGTGCAAAGCTCGTGAGGCCAACTGAACCATCGTGTCGTTCCTATTGTAATAGGCTTGAGTGTTGGTAAACTCTTTCTGAACTTTATCCTCGAACAAGTAAGTTGTGGAAAACCGATCCAGGTTGCTATACCTTGTCAACGATGGTCATAATGCATTGCGGTTCGTTTCGCTTACAATGTTAAATTCTGCGTCTTGTCTAGTTGAGAAGGAAACATGACATCTTCGTCGTTCGTGGATCGCCAATGTATAACACTTGGTCTGCTTGACATTCCTGCCCTTGGGATCATCAAAACAGCGCTCGACGGCCCAACGAGAGCTGTCAAAAGGACCAATAGAGGAACCAGACAAACAAATAGCGCTTTCCGCCGCCCGCGGAAGGACTGGGATGTTACTGCAGCCAGTAAATCGAGCGACCAGAGGTAGGATAGGTGCATCGCCTGTGTAGATACTGACAGAGCACCTAAGGGCAGATATCCTTCCATCATCTGTGAACGAACGATGCTTAAGACGATCTCAACAAGGGAGGCCTGCATCAGAAGCTCTTGTAATTTGGCGACAAATTGTAGCGTAGTAGTGAGCGTGAAAGAAGGTCCCACAAAATATTCGCTCCAGTTGAGTATTAAGACCGCGACTGCGCTGCTTAGGGGAACCAAATGTAGTAAAGCATGGCCAGTAGCTAACCAACGACTCTGGTACATCGCGGTCTTGCGACGTTCCGCGGAGAATCTCCATGACTTGATTGGGGCAAGAAATTGCAACTTCCAATATCGGAGGAAGTGCTGACTCTTCGAGAGTTGTGGTTGTTCGCTACTATCGCTTAAAACGGGTCGAACGGAGTCTTCAATCAGGTCGGTCCCTGGGTTGTGGTGTCTAGGTTTGTGAGCTCGGATGTTGACGAGTTGTGGGGATACGCCAGCTCACCTTTGACTATGCATTAGTATTGTTAGTGGCGATGTCGTGAGGTTGATCTGGTACACAGAGAAATAGTTTGCAAAACAATTTACCACTAGCCAGGGCATAAAGTATGTTCATGAAATCGCATTGAATAAAGGGGTTTAAGAAGCTGAAAACTTGCGGGCTATGCAATGCCAACTACCCTGCCACACAGGATCGGTTGCAGAACACCTTAATCTGTGACGAAACACGCCAATCCTGAATAGGCAGGCGCGCAGAGGCGAGACAACGCGGCCAAGCGGTTGATAACAGGGTCGCGAAATGCTGCAAGCGAAAGCTGAAGAACAGCGCTCTCCTTATCCAGCTCTTTTGAGGTTGGCCAGCCTCATATCACACGACGAAGAGATGGTTATTGAATCCGCACCGCTGCTGCGAGATAGTTGCTGGCTGCTGTCATTTCGGGCGGTCTAACGGCGCCGGGACTGCATCGCTATTATCGACCTAGGCGATGGCTGGCTGTACAAGATGACATGTCGAGTTGTTGCCCCCTGAGTGTCTTGCGAAGTAAAGGTGCGAAAGGGCGGTAGAGATAGATCGTATCGCGGGTCGGGGCGTGTCGTGAAGGATCTTAACGGCAATAGTAGAAGGCTTAAGTTCGCCGCGGGAGTCTTGCCGCTGCGGCTTGTACAGTGTTAGTGCAGCATCCTAGCCAGGCTCTATTATGCTAGATCGAGAGTTATAGGAG